GTGAATTACAGTTTTATGGAATTTCCATTTGTGTTTAGCCAGCAGTTTTAAATTTCCTCAGTTTTGCTCTGGCCCCTGGAAGAAAATTGACTATGGTTGCTGGTGTCTCTAGCTTCACGTCTCAGAACAGAATCACCGATTACTGGGGTTTGATCCCCTGCAGGCATGTCATTGAGTGGGGAAAAGCAGTTAGACACATGAACAGGCTGATGGTGTACCTGGGGCTTCTGTTTAAGACTACGCTTCCTTAATCCCTCAGATGGGTTTTAAAAATCTCCAAAGATCAGAAATGTTTAACAGCAAATACAACTCAGATTTAAACAAGATGAGAGCTTATTGTTGATCTAGTGATTACATGCACAGAGCAGTACATAAACATTTGAAATGACATTTTAAACTGAGAGAAAAAATTCTATTACTCACTGTGTCTCAGACTTCGTTTTCACTGAAACATCCACCTGCATTCAACTTTACTTCCTCCTATACCCATAATATTGTCAGGCTCCACCTTTACCTGGAAATACCTGAGTGATACCAGGAATATGGAGCCTGTGATGATTTTCAAAACAAAGCTGGAAAATCAGAATAACTGTCATGTTTCATGATTATGTCTGTGAAGGTTCTCAGTCATCCAGGTTATCGTAGTCATGATTATGTCCTCCTGAAACCCAGCCTATTCATTGTGTCCTCTCTAGTAGACAAGTGTTAAAGTGAAAGACATTTTTTCCTTGGTCCTCAGGAGGATATGTAACAGCAGCAATAAGTTTTAACTTTGGATGATCAAGTGCTCAGCTGTAGTAAATAGTAAACACAGCAGTTTGTGAACTTTGTGTCATAGATAACTGCGCACATAGCAAGCAGGTCTGACCCAGTGGTCCTTTGCTGTGCTGCTGTGGAATACAGCCAGAGATAAATAACAGGTATGATTCAGTGCAGAGAAATCTATTAACACATAGTGAGTGAGAAAGGTGATTGAAGAAGAAACACAATGCATCATGGGAATCCCCCCAGCAGCCTACACCTATTGCAGGACAGCATAGCACGTTGGTTCCCAAACTTTTTTTGCTGGGGCCCCCTTTGTTTTACAAGAAAAATGTTCGCGCCCCCCCCTCGTGCGCGGACACATCCTCCAACCACACACACCCATATTTTGCTCCATTGCGGTTTATTTCACACCTCAAACATTTAGTAAACAATTAAGCAAACAAGTAATCTGCAATAAATTACAGGTAGTAAGAACGTAAACGTAGTAAAAACGACTAACTCTTTTATGCTATGTCCGCACCTACATGGGTAGTTTTGAAAACGCAGCTGTTTCATCCACACGTAAACGGTGTTTCGAATCACCGAAAACTGAGATTTTTTAAAACTCTTTTTTTTGCGTTTACGTGTGGACGGGGAATACAGAGTTCGTCACGCAACGTCAAAGGTATGTGCCTTTTTTTACGTCAGCTGTGCGCCACGTTATTGTTTACATGAGATGAATTGCAGATAGAGACAAAAATACTGTTAATCTAACTATCTGCAGGTTTCACACGCTTACATATACACGCAGTTACTGTCCCTCCATTTACAAAGGCAGAGACGTCACGATGTAATTATTTTACATGTAGTTGTTTTTTTCCCTGTGTAATAATGTTCAACATTGCTATCAATACATTTTTCAATCCCTCTACAAAAAAGGTTCAACAACATAAACAACTATTGGATGCTGTTTGTCCGTGATTTGAACCGGGGGAACAAATCGTGGCAGGATCAGCCCGATGTTATTTGTATC